GGAAGGTGCACACTAAGTGTGCACCTTCCTGTCAGTCCGGCCGGTGACAGGAAACAGAAACTCCCCGTGGAACAGGAGTTTCTGTTTCCTGTAACCGGCCGGACTGACAGGAAGTGCACACTCAGTGTGCACTTTCCTATCACTCCGGCCGGCCGGCCACCGCGGACCGGAGTGCAGCTCGGCCACGCTACATGGGAGGGGAGAAGCTGCAGCCGCCTGACCGCTCTTCACAGAGCGCTCAGGCGGCTGCAGTATTTAAAGGGCCGGCCCCAGGTGCCGACGGCCCACCGGGAAATTTCCCGGTATCCCGGTGGGCCAGTCCGGCCCTGCGCGGGGATTAGGGTGTGCCCACCCGTTTGGTGCATTTTGACGGCTCTTTCCCTTTAGGCCTAGATACTGGTGTTCTGCCAGGTCTATGGAGTTTGATTATAGGGGCTGTGCTCACAATGGATCATTCGGATCCTGCCGGATCGTCACCCTGTGAAGGGGATGTGCCAGAGGGCAGGTTGAGCACCTCATGTGGAGGTAGAGTGAGCATTTTTGCGAGGGCTTTCTCTATTGATGCTGCTACTGCAGCGTTAATCATGGACTGGAAGTCCTGGGTCTGTGGTGGTGTATCACTCATTTTGTGGTATCGGTGGTGGAGAGTACGCCGGGAGTCCCCTGCAAGTACAATCGGGATATGCCCACATGCATAATATAAATCTCTTAACGAGTGAGAAGGACCCAATAATAGTGAGAGTGAATCTCAATGCCGGTCACAGTGAGCTTCAATAGTGCAGGGGTTGAATACCCTGTGTGTCCCATGTGGGGATGGTACCAGTCAAACGGATGTAACAGTATACATAAGCGTGGGGTTCCCAATAAGGGTTGTGGTACCTGAACTGCCCTGGTCCCTTCAGTGTCAAAGGCTCACTCTGATAGTACTGCAGGTTATGTCCCTGCATTCAGTATGTGTAACAGGCAATATGATAACAAGAGCTCATAGGCAAAATCCTTACTTGTTATTACTGACAGGAATCCTGATTTATTAAGGGAGAGTCTGAAGGCTGGATGCCGTATTCCCGGTTGTCAGGATAAATACCCACGCTATTAAGAAAAACAAACAAGGCCGCAATTAGAGTCGCGGCTGCAATCCAAGATGGCCACCGCCCGCAAGGACCTGGTGGGAACAACTCCCGCGGTCCATGCGAGCGGCGGAGAAAACGAAAACAAAAATGATAACTAAAAAACCCCCGAATCCCACAGTGCCCCAACACCCAAAATACCCTCCCCCCTCTGCTAACAGGAACGGTACACAAACACCCGCCCACAAACGAAAATTGGTCCGCGGGCGGAAAGTTACTCAGGAAGTTAGCCGGGCAGAATGGAGGGAAGGTAGGGTTGAAGGAGCAGGGACAGGGGAGAAATTAAAATAGAAATAAGTATGAAAAAACAGAATAACTGACAAATTGTAAATAGGTAGATATGGATGAAGTAATACTCTGACCTGTACTCTGGCTGAGCAGCAAAGAAAGAGGAAGTGCATCACGGAGCTATTTATAGCAGTGATTCTTGTTTTCTGATTAGTTTAAAAGCTTTGATTGATCTGTGTTGCTGGAGTTTTAGTAAAGAAAGATTATGCAAATATGAAGCCTCCTGTCATGTGGTAAAATTCATTTTTTTATGACACTATTTTTCTATAGTGCTATTTCAGGCTGCTGCACTGAAGAGATCAGACTCTGTTCCCAGCTGGCCCTACCTTGTAATTATCTCCTCCCGATTTAGTTTAGCTTGTTCTTGTTGTTGACCAGTTCATTAATATTGTTTTAGGTCTGGTCAGGGCCGGACTGGCACCTGGGGCCGTGCAGACACCTGGGTCTGCTGGCGGCCGTAGGGGGAGGTCTGCTGGTGGCTGCTGGGGGAGCTGTTCTGTCTCTGCTCCCTAGCGCGCAGCTTAATGAGACCGGGGCCAGAATATGACGAGGGCGGGGGAGCAGAGACAGAACAGCTCCCCTGGTGGCCATCAGCAGACCTCCCCCTGCAGTCGCCAGCAGACCTCCCCCTGTGGTCGCCAGCAGACCTCCTCAGCGGCCGCCATCAGACCTCCCTCTGCGGCCACTAGCACACCCAGCCGATCACCCACAGGTAAGATGTGTCATTCTGTCAATGTGAGTGTGAGTGTATGTGTGTGTGTCTGTGTCATGGTGTGTGTCTGTGTCATGGTGTGTGTCTGTGTCTGTGTCCTGGTGTGTGTCTGTGTCCTGGTGTGTGTCTGTGTCATGGTGTGTGTCTGTGTCTGTGTGTGTGTGTGCCTGTGTCCTGGTGTGTGTCTGTGTCCTGGTGTGTGTCTGTGTCATGGTGTGTGTCTGTGTCTGTGTGTGTGTGTGCCTGTGTCATGGTGTGTGTGTCTGTGTCTTGGTATGTGTGTGTGTCTGTGTCATGGTGTGTGTATCTGTGTCATGGTGTGTCTGTGTCATGGTGTGTGTGTGTCTGTGTCATGGTGTGTGTGTCTGTGTCATGGTGTGTGTCTGTGTCATGGTGTGTGTGTGTCTGTGTCATGGTATGTGTGTGTGTCTGTGTCATGGTGTGTCTGTCTGTGTCATGGTGTGTGTGTGTGTAATGGTGTGTCTGGGCCATGGCGTGTGTGTCTGTGTCATGGTGTAATGAAGTGATGAAGTCACATAATAATGAATTGTATCGAGGTTGAGGTGGTCATGCAAATTTAATGCCCTGTAGGAGTTGACAAACCAACAGATGATTACCAGAGAACCATCAAGTCCATGATGACCTGCAGAAATCGCCAATCTATAGATATTAATAGTGCGATAGGCCAAACCTTGGTCATACAGGACGGTAAAGAAACATAACAGGTAATTCACAGGAGCATATATGGGATCCACCTGTTGTTCCACGCACCAACAACTTCATGTGTTCCAGGCATGGCCTTAGGATCGTCTTGTTTCCAGGGCCAAAGCTCCTGCCAATAAGTCAAGAGTTGACTGTGGAATGTCTGGCACGACCAAAGGTCCACGAAGAGGAGCCACGCTAATAGTCTGAGGTGCTCTTGAGCCAGAAGGGGATGTGGGTTCCCATCAAGGTCCAGTAAGAGATGCGTTGAATCGGGAAGTAGTCTGGGAAGATCCATGGACATCTCCATGAGCAAAGCGAACCAAGGTTATGCAATCCAGTATGGGGCTACGAGAACCAAAGCCAGTATGGGGCTATGGGAACCCAAGAATTCCGTGGACTGGGAAGGGTTGAGCACTGACTTTTCCCAATTGATCAGAAATCCTAAGATTTGCAGGAGGGACAACGCCCAAGAGAGGTGCTGACGAAGCCTGTGGGCATTGTGGGCCATGATTAGCATATCATTTAGGTAAAGAATCATACAAACGGAGGAGGAGGGTGACCACGAGTTTCAGCAGCTTGGTGAAACACCATGGAGCAAAAGACAGACCAAAGGGGAGGCACCGGAATTGCCACATAGTCTTGTCCCACTGGAATTGAAGTAGGTGTTGGCATTCCTTGGCAATTGGAATTATGAGGTAAGCATCTTGAAGGTCGGGTTTGACCATCCAATCCCTTAACCTGAGTAGGTCCCGAAGACAGTGGATTCCCTCCATTTTGAAATGGTGATACCGGACAAATGCATTGACTGGGCGTAGATTGATAACAGATCTCACACCACCGCCTTTCTTGGATACCAAGAAGAGTTTGCTTAAAAACCCAGGAGTGGAAATTGGAACCTGGTAGATCATGACCTTTTCCATGAGCGTGAGAATATCCTACACTACCAGGTTCCTGTCTTGTGGGGAAAAAATTATCCATGCAACACGGAGGTTTGGACTGGGTACTGCACAAACTAGATGTGATAACCTAGAATGGTGTTTAGGACTCAAACATCTGAGGTTAGTCTGTGCCAAGCATTGAAAAAAGGTAGAAGGGTTAGTAAAACACTCACCATAAGGCTACCTCTGATACCTCTGGTCCCTCGGGACTGCCACGATCTGCCTTTGACTGGGAAGAAAGGCAAAGGGGGCTTGGTCTCTGTATGCTGAAATCTAGTTGTGGCGGAGCCTCTGTAACCCCGGTAGGAACCCTGGGAGGAAGGGCCAGGCAGACGACCGGGCAGACGGCCCCGATGTCTGCCAGCCCCACCAAAAACCTTGGGAGAGAACACTCTCTTCATGTTTGTTTGTGCCTTGTCCAGTGCCGTGAAGGTACTGACAGGAGACCTTTTGCCTGTGGTCTAGGCTCAGATATTGCCAGATTGACGAGCTTAGGCTCGATTTTCATAAAGATTGATTTGTGCCTCTCAATGGCCAATGCAGTGTTAGCATTGCCTATCAGACAAATGGATTGCTGGACCCAGCCCCAGATGGCCAATAGATCTACTAGTGCACCATCTGTTAAGGCCGCTTCGATCATATCTAAGATTCTGGCGCTGGGCCCCAATGCATCTAGTACTTTGTCTTGGCAGTGATATAGGGAATAGTGCAGCCCTTTTCTGGCTTTCCAGCAGGACTTGCCCAGGAACTGGACAACCTTAGGGTCTACGTCCGGTGTGGCACAGGCGATATCGAGGACCTAAGCTTATTTCTTGTGGCCTTATCTAAGGGCTTCCGAATTCTGTTTGCAATGTACTTGGCCACATGGTAAGTGGGATACTATTCAGCCGACCTTGGGTTTTAAAAGTGCATCGTGGTCAAACAGGGGTTTCCCCTGCAGGTCGATGATTGCGGAGTCGTCCACAACCTCCTTGTCATTCATTACTGGCTTTGCAGATAAACTGCAGTCAGGAGATGAGTTCTTTGAGTCAATAGAGCTGATCACATTGGACTCGTCCGAAACCTCCTAAGAATGCGAACCAGAATCAGTCAGGGCTTTAGCCCTCTTCCATGTCCGCACCGCTTTTGCCCGGCGGGTGGCTCTTTTACGTGGGGGCACCACGTCCTCGATGGTAACAGGACGCAACCTGTCCGTCAATACAGTTTTGGAGGTGTTCTTGCCCAAAAAGTGGGTCTTTTTTGTAGCCTTCCGGCCGCTAGGGTCCATTGGCTTATCATCAGAGGCCTTAGGTAGTGTCAAGTCAGGAGAGTGGCTAGATGCCATGATAGCAATGGTAATAGAGTGGGACAAATTGTCCTACATAGCTCCCATAGCAGAGTAAATGGCCTGGGTGACCGATTTGGTCATTGTAGCATCCAAGAGAGGGTGGAACTCCTCCGAAGGGTGGAACTCCTCCAAGTTCATCTGCTCCACTGATGCTTCATCCTCTCCCTGATGGGTCAGGGTTCTAGTAGGAACAGGGGCAAGTCATTTCCTAATGGCACTCCCAGAGGTGATAGGAGCATTAACCTCCAAATCAGTAGGGGTCTGCATAGTGACACTATATGGGATAACAACACTCTCCATACTAGTGATGAGCTAAGAGCAAAAAATAATTCTGGCCCAGAAATGAAGGATAAGCTGAAGCAGGGACTGTCAGACACAATAATAATACTAAGGGACAAAGCACAAAGTATGCTGGTGAGCTCACCGAATGTTCCCTCAGGAATAGCCTCAGGGAAGTACTGGCAAGCTGCCCAGCAACTCAGGCAGCCAATCAGTTTGAGCCCGCTCCTAAAATGAGCGTTACGAGCTGGTAAAAAGCACAGAAAACTTTTGCCACATGCAAGATGCGGAGCCGCGAACTGCGGAGCCGCGAACTGCGGATCCGCGAACTGCACATGTGCAAGCGGTGCCGGTTGTGGTATAGGCCCTTAAACCAGAGGACAGTAAGGGAGACGTGCCCTAAGGCCAGAGGGAGACCCCAGTATGTCGGGGTCACCGAGGCCGGGGCGGAAAAATGGGTAATAAACTACCCAAAGAGGTGAGGGATGAGGATTAGCCGTGGGTGGTGGGGGCAGGAAACCGTGAAAGGAAAAAACAGCAAAAATTTAAAAAGAGAAGGCCAGAAACAGAGGGCCCTGCTCCAAATAAACAGTGTTATTTAATATACCAATAACACAAGTTATTAACAATTACTAATTGTTATCAGTAATTATTATCAAAATACAGAAAACATATACAGAGCAAAAATGCTATGGTACTGAGCTCAGGCAGCAGCAAAGAAAGAGGAGCGGCTTAGGCTCACATGGGAGTACATCGAATGTACACTGCTCTCAATGGCTAAGATGTTATATGGTTAGGAATGAGGAATAAGGAAAGAGATAAAGCATAGTATGAGCCTCCGTGTCCTTTAATAAAATTATACTTTCCAGTTTATATTGTTAAGTGATCCATGTAATAGCTGTTGGTTGCCATCAATAGCAATAAATGCAGTCAATGTGGGGTAACAGACAAACAAATATTCTGGTTTGGTGATAAATCAATACAGTTTTCCTAATAAAGTCTGAGTAAGAAGGAAAGTTGGCAGAAATCAGTGTTGTGCAGGATTTTGTCATAGTTGCACTCTGAATAAATTAATTAGAATAACAGGTTTTACCATGAGATTATAAACTAGAATAATAAGGGTAGAGTTATTTTAAAGCAGGTTCATCTTATTCATGTGTCAACATTTTAGCCACAAAGGTAGAGAAACACGTTTGCTTTAACCCCTTAAGGACACATGACATGTGTGACATGTCATGATTCCCTTTTATTCCAGAAGTTTGGTCCTTAAGGGGTTAAAGTGGAGAGAGAGAGAGAGAAAGAGAGAGCTTTCAATAATATACTCCCTACTTGTGACTCTTACCCATGTCTCTTTATCCCCTTAATTCCACATGGGTGGATCCAGAACCTAATCTCAGCAGGGGCACTGGTAGTGTGGATGTAGTGTGGGATACGGGGTTGTAGTGGGGTACAGGGCTGTATATTGTAGAGCAGGGATAGGCAACCTTCGACACTCCAGATGTTGTGAACTACATCCCCAACAATGCTCTTGCACCCATCATGCTGACACTGCATCATGGGAGGTGTAGTCTAAAACATCTGGAGTGCCGAAGGTTGCATATGCCTGCTGTAGAAGGAGCAGAGAACTTACTTCAACCCAAGTTTCTCCTCCTACTTCTGTGACCAGGCCTGGCAATCATAGAGTAGTGAGGGTCCTACAGAGATCAGGTGGAGAGAGACTTTGACAGCCTCACTTTTGCTTCTCTGGGGGGGGAGGGGGAGGGGGATGGGAACCCAACGTCTCTCACCTTGAGTTTTCCTCACCCAATTTCTCTCATGTGCCTTTCCAATTCCTCCAACCTTGTGTACCCCCCTATATTCTTCTCATCATGTATCCATATTCCTCTTACCTCAAGCCTTCTCTTGTGAAAGAAAGACATTATAGCTTGAACATTTATGTAGCATGGCCTAGCAAGATAATACTAGACATCTGCCATTGCTATTCTTTCCTGCTATTACTGCAGAGCCTGTAGCACTGCTACAATGGAGGAAGCAGGAATATGGTGTGATGTTATCTCCCTGCCACCCATCCCATGCAACACCTTCCCGAACTAAGACACGTGTCACAGGAAAGCAGCAGTGCTTGGTGTCCCATATTACTTTGCTCATCTACAGTGCCTTGCAAAAGTATTCACACCCCTTGGCATTTTTCGTGTTTTGTTGCCTCACAACCTGGAATTAACATGGATTGTTTGAGGATATGCATCATTTAATTTACAGAACATGCCCACAACTTTGAAGATTTTTTGTGTGAAGCAAACAACAAATAGGACAAAATAACAGAAAAAGTCAATGTGCATAACTATTCACCCCCCTAAAGTCAATAGTTTTAGAGCCACTTTTTGCGGAAATCACAGCTCCAAGTCAATATGGATAAGCTTGCCACATCTTACCACTGGGATTTCTGGCCATTCCTCCTTGCAAAACTTCTCCAGCTCCTTCAAGTTGGATGGTTTGCGCTTGTGAACAGCAATCTTTAAGTCTGACCACAGATTTTCTATTGGATTGAGGTCTGGGCTTTGACTAGGCCATTCCAACACATTTACATGTTTCCCCTTAAACCACTCAAGTGTTGCTTTAGCAGTGTGTTTGGGGTCATTGTCCTGCTGGAAGGTGAACCTCTGTCCTAGCCTCAAATCACCCACAGAGTGGTACAGGTTTTGCTCAAGAATATCCCTGTATTTAGCATCATCCATATTTCCCTCAACTCTGACCAGTTTCCCAGTCCCGGCTGATGGAAAACATCCCCACAGCATGATGCTGCCACCACCATGTTTCACCGTGGGGATGGTGTTTGGGTGATGTGATGTGTTGGGTTTGCGCCAGACATAGCGTTTTCATTGATGGTTGAAAAGTTACATTTTAGTCTCATCAGACCAGAACATCTTCCTCCCACATGCCTTTTCGCAAACTAAAAACATGCCATTTTGTTTTTTGCTGAAAGTAATGGCTTTCTTCTGGCCACTCTGCCATAAAGCCCAACTCTATGGAGCGTACGGCTTATTGTCGTCCTATATACAGATACTCCAGTCTCTGCTGTGGAACTCTGCAGCTCCTCCAGGGTTACCTTAGGTCTCTGTGCTGCCTCTCTGATTAATGCCCTCCTTGCCCGGTCCGTGAGTTTTGGTGGGCGGCCGTCTCTTGGCAGGTTTGCTGTTGTGCCATGTTCTTTCCATTTGGTTATGATAGATTTGATGGTGCTCTTGGGGATCATCAAAGATTTGAATTTTTTTTTTATAACCTAAGCCTGGCTTGTACTTCTCAACAACATTGTCCCTTACTTTTTTGGAGAGTTCCTTGGTCTTCATGGCAGTGTTTGGTTAGTGGTGCATCTTGCTTATGTTTTGCAGCCTCTGGGGCCTTTCAAAAAAGGTGTGTGTATATGTAATGACAGATCATGTGACAATTAGATTGCACAGAGGTGGACATTATTTCACTAATTATGTGACTTCTGAAGGTAATTGGTTGCACCAGAGCTTTTTATGGGCTTCATAACAAAGGGGGTGAATACATACGCATATGCCAATTTTCTGGTTTCTATTTCTAAAAATTAGTTTTATGTATATATTTCTCATTTCACTTCACCAACTTAGACTATTGTGTTCTGATCCATCACATAAAATTCAGATTAATAAAACATTAAACTTAAGGCTGTAATGTAACAAAATAGGTAAAAAGTCAAAAGAGGTGAATACTTTTGCAAGGCACTGTACGTTACAACAGTTAAACTCATCAGACAAGCCCGTGAGGGCAGTGCTGTGGGCAGGTCCGTAACTGCCTCCAGGCAATTTGTAAATGAACAAAGTGCAAGAGTGTCAGTCCACCCCTTTGCAAATTACATTACATTCAAGTTCAATCAAGATGAAGCCAGAGCAAATATTGCAAATGATGAGGAAAAATAGAAACATTGTGATGGGAAATGATGCCAAGCAAGCAAGGCTGGATTTCCTATTAGGAGTAGTAGGCAACTGCCTGCAGGCACCTGGCCTGTTTTCAGCACTTATAATAAGCTCTGTGGAGCTTCAATAGGCTGGTGGTGAGATATAAATATCAGGAACCTTGATCAGTGTCCTCTGTAGTCCAGTCAACCTTAACAGTAGACATGCAGGAACGATTTTAAATGGTATAAAACACAGTGCTGTACCAGCTTCTCCAGTTTGTGTGAGGCTGGACAGGAAGTAGAAATAATCACATCCCATCTGCCAACTAGTAATCTCTCACACAGGAAATGCTTTGCAGGAGAAGCAGGGAAACTCTCTGAAGACATAGGAGGGTGAGTTCTGTGCAAATAATCATTAAAATGCCAGAACTCCTAAAGACCCAAT